GAAAGTAAGGAAGTGCACAAAGGTATCTATCAGATCGAGTGGGAGCACAAGAAAATGCAGATGGAAATGGAAGACCTGAACCAGAAGGCCTGGGACATCCAGATGCTGTTCTTCTCGAGAGACCGTCAAAAGGCAAGTCTCCCACAACGCTCACTCACTCGGAAGCCTCCCTTAGGCAAGCACCTTCCACGCCAGGTGTGCTCCTACCTGGGAACACACTTGAGCTGGTTTTCCTAGAGGCTTTGTTTGCTGATTTCATGGCTCTGTTCTATTTATTTTCTCATCTCTCTAGACACACATGGTGGCTTAAAAATGAGTCAGCTTGGTTGTCTCTACTATACCTGTCTTTCCCAATTTAGTTATCTTTTCTTTGTTTCCTCCGTGTCTGCCATTGTTTGACCACGCCTCCATTTTCAATGGTTTAGAGTGTGATATACTGTCTTACAATTAGTTAGCATCTTGGCCTGGGCTGGCCTTCTCCGTCTCTCTCTCTCTCCTCTCTCTCTCCCCCACCTCCTCCCTATCCCTTTCCTCTCCTCTCCCCTTCTCAAAATCCATTTAGTTATATGTATACTGCTATTATACTGAATTCCTACTTGATCAGTACCCTGCTCAGATATTTTAAATACTCTTTAAATACCAAAGTCCCTAGGTGGACATTGTCTTTCAACTTGCCTTAGGGCAAATAAGAGGAAAGATACCATTATGCCTCTTATGCATCAGTATTCTCAAATGAGGGGTGGGGGAGGGAGGGGGAAAAAGAAGGGAGGGGAGGGAGTGGGTATATATGGAGGCTAGAGATCAACATTAGATGTCTTCCTCAGGAATTTTCTCACATGGGTGCTGGCAACCTGCTAATGCTGGGGTTACAGGACCATATGGGTGCTAGGAACCTGAACTCAAATCTTCATGTTTGTGTGGCAAGCATTTTACCAAATGAGCCCTCTCCCAGGCACATAAATGGATTGATTACCTTTTGCTCACATTGGCTCTTCAACCTGGAACGCTCCCCCCACCCCCGACCCATTTCTTCCCTTACTCTGTTCCTTGTCCCTTCCCCTCCTGTCCTATCTTCCTAGTTCATCATTTTAACTTATACCACATTATCCAACAGTCTTTCTTGATTTCCCAAGCCTAGAAAAATCCTACTCCATCACAAACTGCCCTTGAATTTGTTAACACCTGACATACATTCTGGTAACCATGTGTGTTCTTTTCTTGAAGGCTATGTCATGTTGTCTTTGTATCTACTTTGGTATCTTTAACTAGAACACTATTAATGTATGACCCAGGTGAGACACTTTGTTTGGTGAGCTGAACGAATGAAAAACTGTAAGCATTTGTAATGATTAGCATATAGGTGTGTATTGATAGCTAAATACAAATAATTATAGCACAAAAGCTGAATCAATCTTAACACACACAAATATTTGTTGTGAAACTATAATTTTCAAAACTATTCATAGTTACCAACTAGAAGAAATAGAAAAAAATTATCCTTACATGTGTGTTTTTTTCCCCTCTTAAAGTACCTAAATGAAGCAAACTACGAGAATGTGATTGCTATTCAGATTGGACTAACGGAGCAAACCCTTAATGCTATAGAGAAGGTCAGTCTCGAGCACATGGATCATTATAATGCCATCATCAGTGGTGAATCGTGTGGGCAAATGCTTCAGTCATGAACCCAGACAAAACCTAACAGAAACTTGATAACTTAGTGATAGTCCTGACAATCTGAGGTCCCTGAATGCAGTCTTTGCAACCATAGCCAGTGATACAGACTAAAGTGTTTCTCTGGGTATTAGGATTAGATCTGGGAATTCGTGTGGATGAATGTGGGTTTGCTTTTACATTGGTTAAATCTGAGCCACAGAAGTACTGATAGTGTTCCTGGCATTTTGAACTTTTCCTCTTTGTACAGCTAAATAACAAAATCAGTTTTCCAGCATAGTATGTAAGATGGAAGCAAAGGCTTTTAAACGTTCATTTTTAAAACCATGTACAATCTTTTCTAGTGTAGTGTTACCATTCTGTCTCGTAACAAAAAATAGAGTTTCTACTGAGGATAGCATACTAGGAATATAGTAAGTTATCTTAATGATGATAAAGTATTTTTAAATTCCAAATGTTTAAAACTTCTTTTTCAAAATTGCTTTTGGGGTTTCGTGGACCAAAACTTTCAGACTCACAAGAAGAATGTAGAACACTGCAAAAAATTACTCAGAAAATTGGTAAGATACAGTAATCAGAAAGATGTAGCCAACTACATGCTGAGCTGCAATCTACGGGAAGAACTAGTGGCCATCTCAGAGAGACAGGACATTTGCAGTGAACTGGGTGAGCGTTGTTTTCCTCAATCAATTAAACGTAATAATTGGTATTGGTATTCTAACCAGTATCCTTGTTATCTGCACAACCAAAAAGCAACCGGCATCTCTTTCACACAAATGATCTTAGATGATGTTCCTATACTAAAAGTGCTGGTCATAATTCAACTAATTCTTTTCTCTATTTCTGGATTAGAGCCTATGCTGACTTGTGAAAAGATTGCCAGAGAACGGTATGAAAACCTGCTGAAGAAACAGAAGCTAACAAACATTTCCAAACAGCAAGCTGAGCAGATCTCCATTCTGCAGGCTGAAGTTGAAAGACTAAGGATGAAAACATTCCCTGCCCTCATTCCCATGTAGAACGCCAGCAAGAGCAGAAGGCAAACTACTCCAAAATAATGTCACTTGGAGAAAAATGATTTCTCTTCCTCTCCTACCAGGGAATTTAGGTGCACATTTTTAATAATAAATTAAATTTACGTTAATCAGTATGCAACTATTTGTCCTACATTAATAAATGAGTAAAATACCATAAAGTATCATTTGTATTCATTAAAGAACAGTGGTTTTCAGCCTGGAAACACTCCAGATTTGTTTTGTTCAATTAAAATTACCAGAATTTTGGAGGCTTTACCAGTGAAACCAAAATCATCACTGATTTTCTTAAGTCATTTGTAAATTCTATTTGGAAGTGTAGTCTTCCTTACCTATGTAACAGAACTCTGTTTTTTCACCCTAACAAGGTTCAGTAAACAAGTGCTCATTTCCTTGAAATAGCTCATTCTACTCATGTAGAGGATACTAACCCTGTAGTAAGACTCCCTGGCAAACCCTTCATAGCCTGTGGTCTGCTGCACTACAAGGTGGCCTCATCAGGATCATTTATTGTCGTCTCCAAGTGAGGTCTATGTCCCACTTTTCTGCAATTTAAAATTTAAATTTAAGCTTAATACATAACACCATATGTAATATACACTGGAACAGACAAAGCAAAAGAGCAACAACAAAAAAAAATCTTCCATTTTGAAGGACACTTATAATCCCAAGGATCCTGAGAGTTGGCTGCCAGCCTATCTCAAATAATAAGTTTCCACTGAGTTTGTTTTGTCCTACTCCAGTGGGTTAGTCTTTATATTTTATTATTTTCCCTAAAGGTTGTCTTAGTTTTCTAATGAGAGATGGAGAGGGGGTGGATCCGGATGGGAGAGGAAGTAGGGAGGAACTGGGAGGAGTAGGGGGAAGGGAAACTAATCAGGATATATTACATGAGGAAAAACCAAAAAGCTATTTAAAATAAAAGGACAAACAATTTTAAAGCTACTTACTATCACACATGTGAGTAAGTAGGAAAATTTTGTGGAAATGAGAAGGTGAACAGCAGGACTAACACCATCTTGCTGACTTCCCTCACAACTATGACTACAAGGAGTCAGTTTAGCTGATTTAGCAGAGAACCCATTGGTAACATTTCTGAGACAGGATTTTCTGACAAGCATGGAGATGGAACCAAGAGGGTGTATAAGGTAAGATGTACAGGCACTTTATCCTTAGCATGGGATTGCCAGTTCTCTGGCAATTGCAGTCAACCATGGATACACTAGACTTGATTTTTCTCTTTTCTAGTATTATAAAAGTGCCATGACACTTAAATTAGTTGCCTAGATACTCCATTAGCTAAAAGACAATGTCCTGTATTCCACTGGCTAATTCTGGTCTTAATAGACCAAGTAGCCCATGCCATTTGTTTTTTGTCACCAGCTCTAGGTGGTGGTCCTTCCACAGCTTTTGAGTCACAGATGAGTTGGGCTTGGAGAGCTCCTGTTCATACTGTGTTTAGTAGGTGAGCATGTGCCATGCACTCTAACTCATCTCTCAATACTGTTCACAGTGCCAACACCTCTTAGTCTCTGCTGAACAGCAATTACGTATAGTTTTTGACAATTCATTGCCAACAAGTGGCACAGTCATTAGGTCAAGCATATCACAGCCTTATGTACAGGAAGATTAGACTCACAAACACAGATGGCAAGAAGTAATTTATATGTGTATATGGTAGTTGGGAGTGTTACAGGTTTGAGTCCCTGTTGTGTCAAACACCAAGAATTTTGAATCAAAAAGCGGGGGTGGGGTGGCACTCAGCTGAAAGCAAGTTCTTAGAGAGCTCAAGAAGAGTAGCCATTTACATACCAATATAGAAATATTTTTTCTAGATCCCAAAGCAGAAATCATGAAGGCTTCAGGAATAATTGGCAAATAGAACAAGGAATACACTGATCCACAAAGTTCTCCTTTCACCTACCGGTCTGCATAGACCTGCTATACTTAAAAGATGCCAGCCTTTCTTCTCCCAAGGTTATACAACAGCTCCAACAGCAGCAACATGCTTTTCCCACTGGGTTCATTCTAAATTCCCAGCAAGTGGGCCAGCTTGTCACATCTCCACACACAGCTGAGAAGTACTCTGGTTATTTAACTCTGATAGGTCCCTTTCCTGCTGAGGGCTCACTATAAACTCACCAGCCCTTCCAGTTTACATCACAGATGAAGCTACAAAGGCAACTGTGGAGAACCTTTCATACTAAGAACACCTCCATGTGGAAAGTAAGGATATGCAGGCTCCCAAGAAACAGATGGCCATTTCAGTAAATGAGGAAAACAAGACACAAATCTGGTGAAAAACTGTGGCTTTATATGTTTAATTACTTGCTAGATTAGCAGACGGAAAGATATATAAACTCAGGAGGGGCAGGTTACATTTAGGCCAGGTGAGGTTTAGACATTGAATAAAATACTTTTTAACACTGAATATAAACTCTTTTTGCCACAAAATCAATTTACTAAACCTGGTTTCCAGAATTATCCAAACTTCCTTTTAAACATCATTTATTTTTTTAATATTTAAATATTTTCTTTAGCAAACATATCCAAAATACGAAGCTTCGTGTTATAATTTTATGTATCAGAATATCTTAAACTGTTCAAGATACCTTTCTCTAAGCCACAAAAACAGCTTATATCTTTCTTCCCTTCAAAACACTCTTTTCACATTGCCATTCTCAAAGATATTCTGTAGAGGGGCCAAGAGTATAGCTCAGAAATAGAGCACATCTGAGGCCCTGGGCATGATCCCATCACCTCAAAAGGAGAGGGGAAAAAAGCCTGAAAGAAAAAAAAAAAAAACCCACAAAAACAAGAAACAAAAAACAACTTATCAAACCCCTGTAAATTCTTCTTCACTTCTATCATAGTGCACAACTTTCTCATCTACCCCGTAGTAGTCGATGAGCTCAGTGAGGCTGAGTTTCTCGTCCTCCTCAGACATGACTGCCTGCAGCTCATACAGTAGCTGCTGGCTGCACTTCCGCCACTTCTTTATTAACATCTCTAACTCAGCCAGGTTGTTCTGAAATAGAAAAAACAAGTCTGTCAATAATCAGAGCTGCGCATTTTAACTTAAACCATCAAAGCAGCTAAACCAGTTCCTCTAACGTTAAAAGCTAATACCCTAGGCATAAAGGCCACTACAACCTCTGGGAAAACCTTAACCTTGGGGGGAAAAAACAAATTTTTAAATCAGCATATTAAACTTAAGAAGAAACTGGGTTCTCAATACACTTTTGCATTACTACTATACTTTTAACCTGTAATGCTATGTTGTACCGTCCTAATTTTTCTGTGAGCTTCAAACTGTCCTTAAAAGGTAGAAACATTCTAGTTAAAAATATTTTCAGTATTTAGAAATAAGTCACCTTTAGAAAAGTCAAAAATTCAAAACCACAAATAAGATACGATGTCCTATCATGTATTCCATGTTGCTGGGGAAGAATGAGGTGTTATATGAGCAAGAACTATCCAGACAAAGATGTCACCTCCTTCCAAACATCCATGTTTTACTGACTTCAACCTGCGGGAGCTGAAAACTAACATCTGTGTTTTCTCAAATAAAATGCCTGACATTTTGTTTAGAGATACAAGATTATTACTAAAAGTACTTCCTACTGTACTCTGGTTTTTAGTTCTATTGGCATCCCTTTCTGCTCCCAGCATATTTTCACCTAACAATTTATACTTCTAATTTTGCTACTGGCTAGAAATTTAAGCCAAGAAGCTTCAACCGTGTATTGAACAAAAGCTGAAGCTCTTAAGTTTTACCTCTTGTTGACAGGGCTCATCTACCTCACTCTAAATCAATTTACTTCAGTTAAGGATGTGGTAAGCCAGATTTCTGCTTATTTGGTTTCTTGCTTACCAGACCAAAATGATTTCCAAATCCTGAAATTACTTTAGTGCAATTTATGTAAAAATTATTCAATGGTTCTAGAACTCTTCTCACCTTTATTCTATACATTTTGACAAGTTTTAATCTCCGAAGAAGTTCTTCCTTCTCTTGAACCTGCTTTGCCAATTTTGCTTTTTCTTCCTTTAATTTTTCTTTAGTATTCTCACTCTCAAAATCATTTTGGAGGGCACTGGAGGACCCAGTACCAAGTGACTTAGATTTGCATGCATTTGCATTCTCTGAGCTGTCTTTTTCAGACGCACTGTCTTTGTGTTTCAAACTTCCTTGGAATTCGGAACAGCTTTTTTCTTTTGATGATGCTCCTGGTTCTGAAGAGGTCTCATAATTTTCCTCCTTCTCTACTTTAAGTCGTTTCACCACACTACAAAAAGAATGAGATGAAGACCTTGTTTTCTTTAATCTTTCTTTAAGTGTTCCACTCATAGGCTGAAAAAGACACAAACAAAAATATTAAGAAAACATTCTTTTGTTTGTTTTTCAAGACAGAACTTTTGTGTGGCCCTGGCTGTCCTGGAACTAGGTCTTTAGATCAGACTGGCCTCAAACTCATAGAGATACACTGGCCTCTCTCTGCCTCTTTGGATTAAAGACATGTGCCACCACTGCCTGTCTAAGAAAACATTCTTCAAGTGAATCAATCTATTAGAAATAAAGACCGTACATTTCTATAGTACGTACAATGGGCGGCTTTTTGTCTCCACAAATCTCAAGCAAGTATCACTAATGCCTTTATTTCCCAGAAGCTCCTTTAGTCTTACTTTAGCAAGGTTAACTTCCTAAACTAGGCCTGAGACACTTCTCCCAGTCATCAGGAGTATTTGTTCAGCAGCTAGCACTTGCCTGGCAACACTAGAAATGCTTCAAAACTACAGACTAGGGAAAAGACCTGTCACCAAAGACTTTCCCTAAGGAATAGTATATAATTCAAATTTGAAGAATCTCAATAACCTGCTAAGAAACTCAACAAAATGAACTGATTCAAGAAGAAAATCTGGCAAAGACAGGAAGGCACAGGCTACACACTGACACTCCAGGGTCCTTAAAACTGCCACTATCAGAACATTTCAAAACACAGAAAGGGGGTGGAAAGCAAGATTTTCATACTTGTCTTCCTAAAGTATTTGTTTGGGGTGATGGTAGAGTATCACTGGTCCCCGGAGTGTCAGGTAAAGTCGATGCTGAATCTGATGTGCTCTTCTCCACCTTGCTCGATGCTGAATCTGATGTGCTCTTCTCCACCTTGCTCGATGCTGAATCTGATGTGCTCTTCTCCACCTTGCTCAATGATGAATCTGATGTGCTCTTCTCTACCTTGCTCGATGCTGAATCTGATGTGCTCTCCATCTTGGCGGATGTTGAATCTGATTCGATCTCCATCTTGGCAGAAGCTGAATCTACTGCACTCTCCACCTTGATGGATGATGAATCTGATTCGCTCTCCAGCTTGGTTGATGTTGAATCTGATTCACTCTCTATCTTGACGGATGTTGAATCTGATTCGCTCTCCAGCTTGGTGGATTCTGAATCTGATGTATTCTCCACCTTGTTAGATGCTGAATCTACTGCACCCTCCATCTTGGTGGATGTTGAATCTGATGCGCTCTCCATCTTGGAAGCAAACTCCTGATTTCCTTCTAAAAAGGAAAAGGCATGGTGATCAAATTAATATTTCAATTTTAATCAACAAAATTTTCCTTAGTGTACAAAACACCAAAAAGCCAGCAATTTCTTCCAATTATATATAGCTGTGATTTTTTCTAATTCTTTTCGAAGTTTTTCATTTACTTCTCCCCATGGGGAGAACAAGGTTTTGTTTTTTCACAACAAATTAACCGGCTATTATGCCATTGACTCTCACTGTTCTCCTTAAAATATCTCAAAAATATTGCACTTCGGGGAGGAAGGGAACTAACTTTACATAATCGAGAATTGTTTTTTTTAATTTTTGTGATAATTTTGCAAATAAAAGTGATACAGCTGGAATAATATAAATATCTTGAATCTTAAAAACTTTGTGCCTAGAACCAAGAATGCTGCAGGCAGGAGCCTTAGAAAGCAATGTGCACCCTATTTTGGTTTACCAAGGGGAAAGCCTCCCCAGAACCCATCTCCTCCTCCCTGGGCCCCATCTCCTCCTCCCTGGGCCCCATCTCCTCCTCCCTGGGCCCCATCACCTCCTCCCTGGGCCCCATCTCCTCCTCCCTGGGCCCCATCTCCCCAAGCCCACTCCTTCCCTGCCTCCAGCACAGAAAGCC